CAGGGCCGCACTGCCAATGGACCAAGATGGCGGGTCGGAGCAGGATCTGCAAGAGGCCGGCCTCGATAGCTCTGACTCTTTCGGGGGCTTGCAGCGCCGCGCGCGGAAGTTGCTGCTTAAGGTCTTGCGCGCTTGGCGCACGCACCACTTCGACTGCTCTTCCATCCGCCACATCTTGGAGCATGTAGAAAGGCAGATCCGATGCTTCGAGGAAAAGGCCAGCGAGCTCCGCTTGGCAGCATCTGCCACCGCCTGGCTTGCTATTCAGAAAGAAGTCGGCCGCTTGCTACAAGGTGCTGATGCGCTCGACGGATTGCAGGTGCGCCGCAGGCAACTGACCCGTCCGGCGACTAATTGGGTTGCGAAGGGTGCGAAAAAGGCTGCCATGCTGACGGCGATGAAAGCACTCGGTTGCAGGGCAACGTACCAACAGCTGCTGGGATATGTGCGACAGAATCTACATGTGTTTGGAGAGACAGATCCAAGCACCATTGAGCGCAGCTTGAGAAGCTTTCGTGCATCAGCGTACTTCGAGTTGCGTGGAAAGGAAGACGGCGATGATGTTTTCGGCTTGGCCGAGCCCTGCCCCAGAGGCATCCGACGCCAGAAGCGGGGTTTCACGGCCCGGCTGCACATCCGAAGCAATGCCTGTTGCTGCATAGGTCCTCTAAGGTCGAGTGTCGAGGAGGCGAGTGCCGACTACCGTCGGTTGCAGGAGTGGCGAGCTGACATGTCACCCGAAGCGCTTTTTCAGTGCATTCGTAGCTGGCAGGGTGCGCATGTTGTCAGCTCAAAGCACAAGCCTCGAGATCGTGTCAAATCGCACAAAAAGGCCCGGACTGCCACGCCCGATGAGGTTTCATCGTGTTGAAGGTTCTTGTTGCTCTGGTTGTTCTGGTGGCTATTGGCAGATGCAGCGAAACAGTGCGGAGCTGTTTCAGTAGCATCATGCTTCGCGCTTCGGGTCGCGTCACCTTAAGAATTTCTTAGCTCGCCATCTACATCCTCTTTAGCCTGGGCTCCACCCTGAACAACAAACCGCAAATCCTAATCCTAAAGTCAAAAAGCAGAGTGTCCCATCCCCGAGACACCTATGATCGTGGCCTCTGCTAAGGGAGGAACCGGAAACGATAGCTACGAGAATCATGGTTACTACTCGTAGTGCACAGTGTCGGGTTTACTAAACCCCCGAAACCCTAAAAGGGTTTCGGGGTTCTAATCATGAGCAATCATAGTAGCAATGGCAACGCAGTGAAAACGTGTTGCTCCACGTGCCCGCGCTGGAAGGTCCATCATCATAAGTAAAGCAGTGTTAATGATGAGAATTTGCCACAAAAGCAAGAACAACGTTAGTAGTAAACCTAAAGACGAGCAAGGCGGGCTCTGATTCTTCGGTTAAGTTCAGTCGTTGCTCTCGTTGTCACGGTAGCTGTGGTGGAAAGTTACCCTGGAGCCTAGTCGGCTGATACGAGTAGAGTCGAAAGATAATCATAATTATTCTTATCGTTATTGCTACTATTGGTATCAGTATCATATTATTTTCCTTCTTCTTATTCTATGGAGGAGCCCCATAAGTTGGAATGATTGCACCTGGTCGCAGGCTTGGGTTTCATGCGGCCGTGCGTGACCCTGCATTCCCAGGCGTGACATGGTTCGGAACAGCGTAGTAGTCGTAGTAGTTGTAGTTGTGGTAGTAGTAGTAGTAGTAGTAGTAGCAGCAGCAGCAGGAGCAGCAGCAGCATTTCGTCGCACGCACGACTTGCTAATTTGGGCAGAGGATGGGACATGTTTAGAAGTTAAGGGTCCAGGGCAAAGGTTTTCGTGTTTCGGATCAAGAGACCCGAGATTAACGCCTTGAGTCCGGGTCGTCGTCGTCGTTGTCGTCGTGGGAATGTTGTCAGTGGTGCAGCAGCTGCTTCCACCATCCCCTTGGTTCATTGCTGGCTGAAGTGCGACTCCCAGTCATGCACTCTTGCAGTTGAGACACCGAACACACCAAGCTTCCGATATCAACCCGGGCAGCCGTGCTTTCCGAACTCGAAGCCCCCGCAACCAGAACTTCCAGGCAGTCTGTAAGGGGGACCTGCGGGCCCTCACGCAGCTCTCGCAACAGTGCGGCGCTGGGACCCTAGAGCAAAGTTTGTTATATTGGGACCCTGTTAAAGCTATTCCTGAAGGTTCGTGATTATTAGCATTATGGTATAGAATACCCCCAAGCCCCAAAGGGTTGAGGGTTTAGGGCTTTTCAGGCCGTTGCAACAGGGTTCTGAAAAAAGATCAGGATTGAGTTGAGGAGCAGGAATGAATCTGTTGCAGGAAGAGGAGAGTGGAGCTCGGCGGAATTCCAAGAACGGCATGTCTGTCACTAGACGGAGGAACGTGCTCCGTAATGAACGTGTCAATGGGTGTCGTGTCCCATGTGCACTATACACGTGTACACATCTACACGGAGGTTTTCAACGTATTATTCCTATATGTAATATGTACATCCTTCTCCCTCTCTCTGTCTCTCTCTCTCTCTCTTTCTCTCTCTCTCTCTCTTTCTCTGTCTCTGTTTATTTCTCTCTGTCTTCCTCTGTCTTCTTCTCCATTTAGATGTATATATCCACTAGCGCCTCATAAACCCAGGATGTAGCAGTTGATCTGAAAGCCCGTGTCCAGCAGTTGTGATCCTCGGCCCTACCTAAGTTGAGCGCCATTTGCGGCTCTTCTTCTTATATAGAAGCCTAAATAATTACCGATGTTACTCCTTAGGGTTCCTTATTAACTATATTTCTAGTATAAAGGAGCCCACAACCCTATTGTAGGAGTGAGATGCTGGCCCTGAGCGAGTGTGAGAGTCGAAAGCCGCTGTAATGCAGACAAGGACGCAGGGCGTGGTTCCTGTTTTGACTATGCTGTCTCCGTGAGACAGCAGCACGACTGTATTCAATGTTCTGCCCCGTAATTCCTGTGCTGAGTAGCCAGCAGCTTTACAATGAGAATCGCCATCGGGAGGGTTCAGTCGAACTACTCCGAGTGCCAACATGATGCCAGCCCAATACCCCTTAAATAAGGAATATACCTTAAATTATAGGGGCCTTAATCTTATGGTTTAAGAAGGTATACTCCCGAGTTAAGGGGTATTGGGCTCTCTGGGTACATGATGCCTTCTGTTCTCGAACCCCAAACCCTGAAGCAGCAAATCCTCAACACCGAGACCCGAGTGGTGAGAGCGTACATCCCGAGACTCCAAGCTAGACCCCTGAGCAGAAGCTTTCAAAGCGACCTCACCCGGACGTCCTAAAGTAATAATATAGGGGGACTAAATAATTACCTATACTATTTTGGGGGGTTCTTATTTTAATTAAACTATAATGGAACCCCCAAACCTTGTTCTAATTATCAGGGCCCCTACATTAATACTCCTGCTTGGCCCAGGCTGCGCGGACTTTTGCTGACGTTTGCAGCTTCTCAGCTTCGAAGACCAGTACAAAGTCAAGGGGCCTTAATAGTCAGAATAGAATAGGGTTTTGGGGGTTCTTTAGGGCCTTAGGGTCTCTGAAGGGTTCTATAAGGCTACTACAATAAGGGTTTAGGGAGTTTAGGGTTTAGGGGCCTTGATGATTAGAATAGTGTTCTGGGCCCCATTATAGTATAGTTATAATAAGGAACCCCCAAAATCATATAGGTACTGATTAAGGCCATCAGTCGTTGCACTCCAGCTAATTCGGCTTTTTGCGACCATGCTAGTATCCTGGCTTTGTGGTTGTTGCTACTAATTCTGCAGTGGTGACTTCCAATGGTGCTGACTATTTACCAAGTCTCAACACACATGAACATGAAGATCCCGCCTAGAGTCAATTATGCGGTCAAGGCCTCGAACTCTTAACTTGAATTTGTGCAGGACCGCCTAGAACTCTCACCAAGTTTTGTTGGTCAGTATCGTATCAGTTTTGTAGACCACATAAGGATCTTACCTTTTGTCGTCGTGCGAGACATGAATGAACCAGAGAACAAGACCCTGCCGGACGTGAGATCTTTATGTGGAGAGTGCTTTATGTGCAGAGTGTTCTCCCCATTTCAGCTCCATTTCAGCTGCATCTTGTGTTTACGACTTTGCGACATTGCCCATATTATGGCAAGGTGCTTCCGCATTTCTAAGGCCAGAAGGAAAGCAGCAGTGGCAGTAGCAGTACTTGGGGGATCATGGGACTTAGTAAGTACGGTTATAAATAAGGTAACTATAGTTATAACCCCAATTAGGGTACTTATAACCTTACTGACTGAGTCCCATGATCCTCCAAGTAAACCCTAAACCCTAAACCCTAAAACCCTAAAGCCCTAAAACCCTAAAGCCCTAAAGCCCTAAAGCCCTAAACCTTACTTACTCGAACACCGTCTGCATGGTGACCCGTTTTGACTCGGAATTTGATTGAGAGTACAGAAGTGAATTCCTGTGCCAGCCAGTGGCGCAATGGTCCGTTGGCAGGTCAGTCTACAGTGCGTGGTCGTTGTCACACCTATTGTTTTGAAACAGAAGCAGTGAATCCACTGTGTCATGAAAGACTCTGAACTGCTGTGACAGGGGGCATCGAGAGCACTTGGATCCTGGATGTTGAGTACTTCTACTTTGATTATTTCTCTGCTATGGTTGTTGTCGCTCTCTGCTCGCTTTGTTCAGCATGTTCACGTAGCAAGCTCGGAACCTCATTGCCATGCCTGCCTTGTGCGAGTGTGTGAGTCGAAACCTTACTTACTAAGTCCCATGATCCTCCAAGTAGGAGGAGGAGGATTTCGAAGATCGTGTGACCCTTTGCCTCGCCTCCAGGGCCCGAGTTGTGAAAACCCTGAAATTCCGGTGGGAAGAAGCACCCCAAAGCCTAAGCCCTAAACCCTAAGCCCCAAACCCCAAACCCTAAACCCTGAACCCTAAACCCTAAACCCTAAACGCTGGGTAGCGGCGAGCCTCCGGAGGCTTCATCTTGCCGGCTGCTCTTTATGATTTTGTTGGCTGGGCCGCGGCCTCATAACAGCGACCACAGCTCTTCTTGGGTTTAGGCCCACAGCTGTCATTTTGCTCTTCTCTTTGTGGCTGTTATGAGCTGAGAAAAGTCTATAAAATGGTGTAAATTAGAAGGGGGTTCTGGAGTATGTATGTAGTCTTGGCTGTTCTTCTGCCATGATCGTACTTGCTGTCATCATCAGTATTTTGTTGTCACAGCCTCGTATTCTCCCTATTCACATCCAGACTCTAGTCATTCTCATCTCGTTGCCATTCCGAGTTTCTTTCGCCTTGATGCTGCCACCTTGATGGCGATTGTTCTCTCCGTACTCTCCCGGCTTGAAGCCCAAGAAGCTTGCGGGGTCTGGCTCCGGGTAGTCTGCGGAGTTGGCTTTAGGCGCTGGATTTCCTAGGTTGTGCAACTCCAGGGCAGTCTTGCGCCTCGTCATGAACCACCTGCTTCCATAAAAAGTCCGCACGGAGCAAGCCTGCCGGTAAAGCGAGTTGCAGAGGTTAACGTTTACTTTCTACACTCTAAACAATGGGAATTTCTAAATGTGCCTTTGGGTGCCCTAGACGCTCAACAGCGTGTGGAGCTCGACTTCTTGATTCTGAATGGGAAGGCTTTGGGGGGCTTAAACGCCGTGGTGATGATCGGTGGTGTGCTTACTTTTCAGCCACTATGGTTGTGGTGTTGCCGACGGTTAAACTGGTGATACAGGCGGCGATGCTAGCAACGCGGACTTGTGCTGTCCATCCGTGACATGGCCGTGGTGATGACACTGGCAATGCATGCAGTTAAGACTGCGGTAGCTGTGAAAGGGTGGTTGACGGTGGCGATTTCCATGGTGATGGCGCTGTTGATTGGTAGGAATGATGGTGACAATGATGTGGCTTTGCTTTGTGGAAGAGACGGTGGTGACGTGTTTGTGATGGTGTCGGCATTGGTCGTGATGGTGGCGATAGCGCCAGCAACAAACGTCGTTGTCATCGTTTACGTCAACTTTCTCATAGGGTATCCATGCGATTACTATTTCAATGACAACTACTATTACAATTACTAGTGCTATTACAGTTACAGTACTAGTATTATTGCTAGTGTTATTCTGCTGACTGTTACAAGTGCTATTACTATTCGTATCAGAACTGTTTTATTAATGTTATTACTTACTACTACTGCTGCTGTTTCTACTACTACTGCTGTTACTACGTACATTACTACTACGATTACGACTTCTAGCATCAGTGTACTCTTGCCGATTACAGTTCCCCGCGCCATGTGGGAGTTTCCGGAAATCAGGGGTACCTTATTTTGGGGACCTT